CGAATTTTGTACATCACAAACGGATCACCGCAAATGTTTGATATAAATTAAACAAATAAAAATATCTCGTACAATAAGACTACACTTGTAAAAACCTGATAAGACAGCTTCATTACTAACTTATTTATTCAAATCAAGTATAGGAGTTATTTTGTAATCACATTACAAATCACCACAAAACAACTTAGCACACATATATACCAGACCTTTGAAATCACATGAGTAACCACTTCTCGAAGCATAGTAGACATTAAAGACATCACGATTAGATTAATTATATATCTTCTGATCTTTTCTCATGTCCTAAGCTCGACGACGTTCCAACAATCTCATCCATACAATTGTGCTTCTGCAACGGCTGTGATATTGGAACATTACTATCAAAAGGATCATCATTGATAAGCGAATTCAGAAACGACGAGAACTTGTCGTCGTAGCAAAAACCAAAGTCTTCGTTGTTTTCTTCATCACCAAAGGCACTGATACTGACCTTGCTAGCTCCATCTCCGCTACTAATGGTGGTATCGGTATGATCACTAGAATGAGGCTTGAGAGTTTTTCCATCACCGGAAACTTCTTCTTCTTGTTTATGGATGTCGTTTGCATCAAGAGGCTTGTGAGTTTGAGGATCAATGCCTTGTCTTAAAAGTTTCTTACGAAGATGAGTGTTCCAATAGTTCTTGATCTCATTATCAGTCCTTCCCGGGATCCTTCCCGCGATCAACGACCACCTACATCAGGCATTAATATAATTCCCATGAAGATGCATATGTATGTGATTTTAAATCAACAACGATTAATTATTAATCATCATTGCTATAAACACAAGTTTGCATTATTTCTTAATATATTCATACAATTGTGGGAAAAAATGAGTCGATCCTCATAACTACTAGCCTTGAAACCAAAAGAAAATAGACTCACTCTTGGATGAATCACAATTCTAATATCAAGTAACTAAAAAATGATGGTTCTATCTAAAAACCAATCAAAATTTTATGTATGTATATTGTGATAAATTCACCCAAAAACAAAGAGAGATAAAAAAATCAGAATCTTGATGTTTATGTAGAAGAGATTAAACCCTAGCTTAAAAGATAAACACCTTAATTTATGCGTAGAGACACACGCACATAGAAACCATGATCTTCTAGGTATGTATCATTGAGTTATTAATGGATAATACGTATGTATCATACCGGTTGCCGAGGAGGCGGTGAAGGCGGAGGATGAGATCTTCCTCGTCGGAAGTGATACCGCCGCGTTTTACAGACGGCCGGAGATAGTTCATCCACCGTAGACGGCAGCTCTTTCCACACCGGAGTAAACCAGCTCTCTTAGGAAGCGATCTCCACCTTCCTTCTCCTTCTTTCTTTATGAAGCTCACAAGAATCTCGTCTTCCTCCACCGTCCATGGTCCTCTCTTCATCCCCAGCTTCGTGCAACACGGCGTCGTTTTCTTGCTCACTGTTTTCATCTCCACCGTCTTCAACCACACAAAGTTTTCTCTCTTTCTCTTCTCGACTAGGGTTTCGTGATCTCTCTAAGTTCTTCGATTAGTTAGCTTTTTTTTTCTCATTTGTTT